AGGGCTTTTGGAATCTCTGGGTAGGCCTTCACAAACTCCGGTTCAGAGAAGAATAGAAGCAATCGCGAGGGAGCTCTGGGCAGCACTTACGGCCGCCAACTTCGCTGCTCTGCAACCGTCCTGCGTCACGAGGAGGAGTCTTGAGGACATTGTCAAAGTTGGGCCCCTTCTCGGTGTCCTCGTTCCGATCGGGGCCTTCGGCGGCACTCACTTGCCGCTTGAGGCCTTGGCCTTGTCCTTCAGGATCGCCAGCTTCGTCTCGAGATCTTGAATCTCCGCCGCAACCTTGGGGTCCATCTCTTCCTCCATCTTCTTAATCTCGTCGGCCTCCGTCCGGGTCCTGCGTCTCGTGCTCGTAGTCGATGGTGCGCTGGCCTTGTCGCTCACAAGGCTCCAGGATTCCCTTGCCGACGGAGTAGTCGATGCAGCAATCGACTCTGGTCCTCGAGTGGCAGCCGTGGAGCTCGGGTATGGTGGCGCCACCTGATCTCCCAGGTAGCCTCTTGTCTCCGGGTTCCTCTGCTTGTTGTTGAACCACCTCCCGTGCCGCACAAGTTCCGGATCTGGGCTGTCCGCTTGGGCTAGTTCTCGGACTACCCACTCGCCATAGCTCTTCAGGATTTCGCAGAATTGACACCCCTTGAATTTTCCTATCTTCATGAGTTCTTGATCTGGGGTATTGAGCGAGTCCCTGATCAGGCGGAGGAGATTGCCTTTTGTTGTCGTGTTGGCGTAGTCGATCTTCAACTCGCTCGCCTTTGCTCGCAGCTCTGGCAAGCTCATGTGCGAAACCCTCTTCATCTGTTCCGTGGGGTCCGCGGCCTTTGCTGCATTCCGGGCCTCCATGATGCAGGCTTTGATCTCCGTGACTCCCCAAGTGTGATGGACTATCACCCCGGTGCGGTTCGCCTCCTCGAGCAGCTGGGTCTTGCTCATGTGGTTGATGGGACGAGGCTTTCATGGCGCCTGTTCCATGCTCGCAGCGACTGCTAGGAGGGAAGCTAGGGGCTTGACGCTTGGCTATCCAAGTTCTCCCGACCCAGTGAAATGCGAAGGCGGGCTCATTGAGTTTGTCATGCTCCCACCTATCAACGACTGACTCAATCCACCTATTGGAAGTGCAACAAATGCCATCTGTCACCCTGATCTCACCGGCAGTCTGAACAAGCATCTCCTTCTGGACTGTAGCACGTGTCTTCCATGTCGAAGGATTGAAGAGAACTTTGCGGGGAGTAACATGGATCCTTACCCAAGCATGATCACATTCTAGCCAGAAGTCTGAAGTGGTTGAAGTGCTGCTCCACCATGCTATAAACTCATCTTGCGGGAACCTTTCTCGAACAAGCATTTCCTTGACTCCAGGCTCTAGCTTCTTGTCGTAGAAGAAGTTATACAAGTCCCTGCTTTTAGCATGCCCGGGGTTATGCGCAACTGCAAACGCCATGTATTGACTCTTGGGCACAAGCTTCAAGTCCTCGGCCTGAAAGGAGCCAGGATCACCGTCCATTTTGGTCGGCAGTATTGGAATGGCAGGGTGCCCAGAAGTGGTGACAAGAAGGTCGAACCCTTTGAGCCCCACCTTGTTGAAATCGGCCTGCCCTCTCTCTATGTCGAAGACCATGCCGAGCTTGCCCAAGACTGTCTTGGAGAGAAGGAGCGGGACATCGCCGTTGATGATCGAAGTTCTTACCTGCGCAACCTTGTTGCCGAGCTCGAATGCCAGAACCACGTAGAAGGACGAGTAGTAAATCTTCCCAGTGCCAAAGCGGTAGGCTTCGCACTCCTTCTTGAGCTCTGGCCGGACGCCCAAGGTGGCCAACTTGTCGGTGTAGGCCTGCAGCCATTGAGTGCCGGCCACTGTCCGGGCACATGCTGTGTCCGTAATGCCAAGGAGCCCTGCGTCCTCAAGCCGAATGGAGAAGACCTCTGCAGGGAGGAGGTTGCAATAGCCCACGTCGGCCGCCTTGTTGGAAGACTTGTCGCCGTTCTTCTGGTGTCCTGGCTGGTTGTGCGGGCACTCCGCATCCTTATGCCAATGTCCGCGCCTTCCGCATCCGGAGCAAAACGATTTGGCCTTCATCAGCTTGATCTTCTCACTGGTTTTCTCATTGCCTTTCCCGGGCTGGGAGGTCTCGCCCTTGCCCTCGTTCGCGTAGCCATTGAACCCGCGGTTCTTCTGGTGCTCCTTGTATCTTTGCTTTGCCGTCTGATAGGTCGCATAAGCCGCGGCCACTTCCTCGGAGACCCCGGCCTCGCCATCCTCGCCGTCGCCATCATCGTCCCCGGAGTCGAAGGAGTCGTCCGCCTCCGTGTAGTGGGCGGTATGAGGCTTCCGCCCCTTGCCCGAGTTCCCTGATTCCCAGGGTTTGCGATGTCCTCGGTCGTGGATCACGCCCGCCTGCTGCAGTCGGGGAAGCGAGTACATGTTGCCGACGCTGGCCACCAAGTTGAGCTCTGCGGCCTCCTCAAGCTGAAGTCTATCAACGTATAACCAAGCAGCGCAGTCCTCGGGAAAGGTTACACCCGACCTCTCGGAGGCGAGCATGAAGCCTGTCATACTCGCTGTTGTAGTCCCGAATGGTCTGTCCTGGTTTTCGCCTCAGTCGGCGAAAGAACTCTGAGAAGGCTTTGCCGATGCGAGTGACCTCCAAATCCAAGTATCTGTTCGTGATCCACTTCACCAGGTACTCGACGCCGGCCTCCTTCGCGAGGTTGTCCACGCTGAGCTCCTCCGCAGCCACCCACGCCTTGCCCGTCAGGTGCTGGTAGAGGACGAGTCCTTGCTGGTGGCTAGGGAGCAAAGTCATACGCCTCCAAGCCTCAACTTGTCGAAGATATGACCTGGCCGAAGTTCCAACGTCCTCGGAGTCCTCGCCCGAGAAGCTGGGAACGGTAAGCTTCTCAGAAGGTCTTCCTCCACCAGTCCGCCGGCTCTCATCGCTGGTGTGCGAGCTCTGGTCACTCCAGTCGCTGTTGGTGAAGTGCTTCCATCCATTCCACACTGATGGTTTTTCACGATGTCGATCCGGCCGATCGCCGAAGGTCAGCTCGACCATCCGCCTCCGGAACTTGATCAGCTCCACGACGATCTCCGCACCATCGAGGTTCTCGCCAGCCGCTGCTGCGCCGATCTCCTCGCTCGTCTTGCTTCTTCCGCCATGCAGCGGCCCAAGGGTCTGACTCCCACTCGTCACCCTCGTCCTCGTCATGGTTGTAGTTGTCGTGCTGGCCATCACGACCCTTCCAGGATCCGGTCCATCCGGATTGCCGGTTCTCCCAATGGTGATCTTCATCCCACTGATGGTCCCAGTCACCCCACGAAGCCGAGCCATCCCATCGCCCCGAAGTAGAGTTCGAGAAACCTCTTTTCTGCCCTCTACCTTCATCTTCAGCACAACCTTGACTGTTACTCGAAGAGTCTTGACTATGTTCTTCTTCAACTGCAGCAGCCGACGCTGCTAGATCTTCAGGATCGCCGGTAAGCACACTACCGTCACCGCCGTCGAAAGTAGCCATGGCCCTACAAAACCCTGGCTAAGCTAAGGTGCCTACCGGTAGCTCCGCTACCAATGAGAAACCGTAAGAAAGACCTGGGCAGCCTGGCCTGCTCTGCGCAAGCGCGCCCTTTCCATGTCCAAGCCAAATGCCTGTCGGAGTCGTCCTGGCAGCGTCTGCAGGGTCTTGGGCTTCAAGGGGGACCAGTGCTTTCAATCAGAAACTCGTACGGAGAAGGTAAGCGATCATACTCAACTTTATGCTTCACATTTAGGCCTCGAGTTTGAGAGTGCTTGCACAATAGATCAGAACAAGTCTTTGGTGGGTTCAGGGCTTAGAGTTACGGGTTCAGTGTTTAGGGTTCAAGGTTTAGGGATTAGGGTTTGGGAGTATTTAGGGTTTAGGGTTGGGGACGTTTCCAGGTTTTAGGGCTTGGGTTTGGGAGTGCTTGCAGACTAGATCAGAACAGGTCTTTGCTGGGTTTAGGGTTTAGAGTTTAGGGTTCAGGGTTTAGGGTTCAAGGTTTAAGGATTAGGGTTTGGAGTATTTAGGGGTTGGGGACGTTTGGGAGTGCTTCCAAACTAGATCAGAATAGGTCTTTATTTAGTGTGTTTAGGGTTTAGTGTTTAGGGTTCATATTGTTGCTAGATGAGTTGGATGACTTAACTTGGCCGATGCTATGAGCAAACTAGTAGTGTAATATGTGTAATTTCATGTGATCGTTTAGAAAACAGGTTGCTCATAGCCAGTCACATTAGTCAGATTTGGAGGGCTGAATCAAATAGTCCAATAATGTAGTTATTTGGATTAGCAGCTTAAACTCAGATTCACTTGATTAGAGCGTGGCGGACTCAATAAATATATTTTTTAAGAGTTCGACTGGCTAGACTCAGCATTGTATACTTCCAAAGGGATGTCAAAGCCTGCTCTAGTCAGCTTGCTTGATTTAGGTGATCTGGTATTTAGTTTTTCCAGACGATGTCAAAAAACCATGAGTTTCTTGATGCATGTGATCGGGGTAACCAGATGTGTGCGATTAACAAGGGGGAGCTGAAGACTTCAACCCAAAAAGCGGAAGGGGCAGATTAGCAACCGGAGCGCCAACGCGGAGAGGGGCAGCAGGAAGCACTTGACCGTGTATGGCGGTGGGTAGCCTTCTGTGCTCGCTTGTTTTTCTGTGAAGCTGGAAGTGCCCCTGCTGTCTTCTGTCGATCAGCATAAGCAGCAGTACGCCTTGCCTGTTTTGAAGAAGCATGTTGCAGATGAGGAATGGCCTGACAAGCAAGGTAGCCAGGTAGGATCGCAAATTGGACACATTTCTTTGTGTCAGCTTGTTGCTGCCGTTGCACTGCGGATGTGCTGCCCGACTACGCTTGTGTCTTTCTCTTCCCAATCTGCTTGTTGCCTTGGGGGATCACATTGCATGGTGCTGGCTACTTCCTGCTCCCCTCGCGTGCTTGTGATTGTTATTGCTTTGATGCAGCAGCTGTTGCAGGAAGCTGGCTTCTCTCTTGTGAAGCTATCGAGACGGCTGAGAAAGCTTGCGATGTTAGACGCCGCTTGCAACGCAGAAGCTTCAAAGGAACATGTGTGCACGAAAGGTCCATTCTGCACATAGCTTGGGCATCTGGCCTGAGACGCGCCTTGCAATATCATTAGAGCTAGCTAGTATTTGAAATGAAGATCTCCACTAGTAGTGCTTCTTACAGCAACGGCACGGCGACAAGTCTGGCAGTCGTCATGCAGCGCCATGCAGCGCCATGCAGGTCCTGATTCTCGGTGTGATTGTTGTGGTGTTGAGCGCCACGATCTACAGCAGCCAAGGCCAGCACCTTGCAGGGTTTCCCTCTGTGCAATTCACGTGAGCAGCTCTAGCTCGATGCATGCTGAATGTTAGCAGATCTATCCTGACAGCGTTGGTATTGACGGATTCGCCTATGCCGGGATTTACAGATTCGATTGGAGGATTCACGCATTCGCGGATTCGCAGATTCTGGATTTGCAGACGAGGATTGGCGGATGCGGGGATTTGCGGATTCGAGGATTCGGGGATTCGGTTGGGCATCATGCCAAAGATTGCATGAGAAACACCGCGTTCCCCCTCGCACCGCCGTCTCAGCTTGTACGGCGCAATAATGCCTGGACTCAAACCTCATTGAGGAGCATGGGAAACGCATGTGGGAGCATTTTTCTGCAGATCTGGGGTCATGCGGCTCAAAAACTGCGGCCCATGTTTAAAGGATTCAAGTCACAGATTCCCGGATTCGAGGCTCCGCGGATTCGGGAATTTGCGGGTGCGCCTTTGCAGGATCGCGGAATTTCGCATTCGCGGATTCGCGGATTTGCAGATTCGTGTTTCGCCCTGAACCGCTAAACGCTGTCAGGATGGCTTTTTCAAGGTTAAGAGTGAATTCTAGATAGAGCCAAGCATGAATTCGAAACCGCTCTGGTCATGCCGTGCTCACCATGAGGCATGGTGCTATTTCCTGGTTGGGGCCTCCTAGTCTTGGCTGCAGCTGAGTGGCTGGGCTGCAGGAGCAAAGCACAGAGCCAAGCACGGCCGTTTGGCATTTTTCCCCATCCCCTGACCATTGTTTTCCTCTTTTCTACGGTGTTTCAAGGGACAGTCAGGGATCTTCAGCATAATAGACACTTGGTTGCTGCCGCAGTACTCTTGTAACAAACATTTGATTCCAAACTGAATGGCTGTTTCGTACATTCTTGACTGAATTAGTACAGCAGCTTTGCCGGAACCCAACGCATTAAGCTACAGGAGGTGGCTCAATTGTGATCCAACAACTACATATGTCTTCGTACATCATGGCATTTCGTGTGTGTGCAGGGATCCGATTACTTTATGTACACCCAGCGAGCACGTCTCCGACAGCAAGCCCTCCTCCTCCAACAGCATTCGAATGTATTGCGATTGCATTTCATAGACTGGCGAGGAAGGTGACGCTCCTGTACTTGGAAACGGTAGCCTGACAGAACATGTCCCCCGACATCGCTCAGCCTCTGGAGCAAGGTTAGCACACTACGCTGCTGGCTGGCTGCTGTGGGGCATGTCGGTGCCTGGGCTGTGATCTTGGCGTGGCGCTTTGCTAGGTATGAGCTGTTTGGGCAGGTTGATCAGGGTTGGAGCTCGTACGAGTGATCACCTAGCCTCCTTTGATCGTCAAGGTGCTTCTTCCATGGAAGCACATTCGAGACGAAGCTGGAAGCCACTGAAGCCATTTCCTTTGACGGCATTTGCTGTGCCTCTTCGCCCTGAAGCCTCTTCCTCCCGACTCCTAGATACACCCAAAAGGGCAGCTGGCTCTGCTCACACATCCGGACACCGCTGATTTACATCTTCAGGCAGTTGCCTCGTTGTGTTTGAAAAGGGTGTTGTTCAAACAGTCGCAACAGAAGCTTCCAGAAGTTTTGCAAACAGCAGCCACTCCGGCGACCCCGTGACTCCCCTTGCAACGTTTGCAACGTTCCATGTTTCAGCCAGGTGCACCAACCCGCTGGCGCTATAGAGGCGAAGGCATTGGAATATCCGTCAAGCCAGGCTGAAAGCAACTCAGACATTGCGCCTTGACGTGCCGAAGTCACTTTGCCAAGAGGCTGCAAATTGCTGCTGCAACGATGGTGTCTAGAGTTTGGTAATTTCTCATGAGATTCTTACTGGTGCACAAGAAAAAGCAAGGCTTGTGGCTTGTGCCTCACTTGGCTTCTGTTATTTAGCCAACCGTCCAAGGCATTGCTTGCAAAATCCAAAAAGATCAGATTCTGAACTGAGGCAACATCAACAACAGCTGCTAGCGAATCTTCGAAATGCACATGCACAATTTGAGCTTTGTCGTGCCCTTCCTTTGGACTTGTAAAGTGCACTGGCTGAAGGTGTCCCTGAGGACGCTGTGAATTCACAGATTATTTCCTTTTGCTGCGAAGCCAGACTTCAGTGGCACACACACACACACAGGCCTACTGCGAGGAGTCACAAAGAACCCTTATCTGCAGAGTACTGTGGCAGCCGTTCGTCCTGGCGTTTGGTTCAGATGTGGTCGAGTGACCAAAGAACTTGATAGATGGATGCTGCATGCAGTTCTTTAGCAGCAAAGCTTGCAAAGCACACGGCCCAGCGATGCCGAGAGGGCAGCTGAGAACGTAGATGCCAGGAAAGACCAACTTCTGGATCATTGTTGAATGGAACTGGAATGAGTTGAGGAATGTTTCATCCAAGTAGGGAACAGCTGGAACAACAAGGTCATCGTGTGCGCCAACATTGATCCAGACTTATGCCACACCGCTTGCCAGTAGGCCTAGTGACAAGCTGCGACCTCACAGCTAGCTGCAACTAGCCGTGTAAGCTTAAGGAGAGGTCCCAGCTTCCTAAGCACAAAGGTCTGGCCAACCGTGGGCAGTTGTTTTTGTAGAGTTGAACATCTTGCTCGCGGTCGAATTCAGATGCAGTTTCTGCCTGCAATGCCTAGAGCCTGCTGCTAGCAGGCACCAGTTTTATGAAGCTCGTGTAATCCAAGCCCTTGGCGCAGGCAGAGAGCATCGCGAAAATCTAAACAGTCCAGTGCCGTCCACATTGCATCAGAAGCATCAAGTCTTCTGTAACTTCTTAGATCCCCGAGGGCGAGGCCTGGTCACTCCGCCGCAGGGCGGAATAGGTAGCATGCCATGGTGATGTTGTATACTGGGCATGGCAACTAAATCTAGCCACCAGCGGACTAGCATGCTCCAAAGATAGAGTTGCCAGGGAATTGCCCCGGCCTCTGAGAAGCACTGCTCTGAGCAGACGTGTGACGGCAGAGGAACTTCGTGAGAGTTAAGTGCACGCGGGGCACGCCGCTGGAGTCAAGGCCAGTGAGCCAGCATAGGTATGCATTTAAAACGCAAGACCTCAAAGACAACTTTCGATTGCAGACGGCGTCAAGAGGCATTTGTGGCTCACTGGCACGTTGCTTTATATTTCCATCACATCATCGCACAAGCGATAGGTCCAACACAAGTTGCAATTTCAAGCCAGAAGCTTCACAAGGAGGTAAGGTTTTTCGTCTGCTGATCTTTCGCCTGTTCTTGTTAGTCTCCTAAGAAGGTTGTTGCGTTTGTTTTCGGCGAGTCAGCAAAGACGTTTTGTAACCTGCTTTCTTCAAGGCATTTCCGTGCCTCCGGCAGAGTCCGATCTGGTCATTGAGTCGACTTTTTCGAAAGCTCGGCTGTGTAGAACAGCTCCTGAGCCAGGGGAGACCAGGGTAGCAAGGCTGCTAATCATTCCACTCGTGAAAATGTGCAGGGAATGAATGAATGAATGAATGAAGGAAGGAAGGAAGGAAGGAACGAACGAACGAACGAACGAGCGTTGCTTTCGACTCTGAGCTTCCTCACCCATCTCACGACCTGCAACGTGTGGGCATGGTGTCATCCAAGGCTGCAACTGCCCATCGATGAGTTCCGGGATAGGCAGGACAGTGCTCACAAAGACCGCACCCACAGCAAGCTGCGAGAGGATTCTGAATCACATTCGGGAAAACCGGGCACCAGCCTCAGGCCCTCGCACTCGCCACCACCCTCTTTAGTGTGGTTTTCCAGCACAAGGGATTTGACCGCGCATTACATGCAATCTACTTGGTTTTGCTATTTGGTTTGCGCGATTTGTCTCTTGCATCAGAGTCTCTATGTACGCGTAGCTTCCTGTTGTTGCTTTGGACGGCCTAATAGATCATTGCCCATCTGTGTGCATGCATGATGTGTAGGCGTCAATTCATAGTTTCCCCTTCTGGATTGCAATCCTGAAAGGCAATTTCCGAGAGTGAGATGTAGGTATTACGTTACTGGGTATTCGCGAGGGATCAAAGCATTTTGGACATTGATGCTCCATTTCAGCACTTTGCTGCTGCCAGTCTGCTACCAGTCTCAGGTCACGCATATTCAAGGAGAGACGGGCTGTGGCAAGTCCACCCGCCTCCCGCAGTTCATACTTGAGGACAAAGAAGCAACAGCGTCATTTCAGCATTGGGCAAGGCTGGGTGAAGCCGGGCACCACAACTTTCTAAACAGGATGCCCGAGAGCGAGGAGAGGAGCTCGGAGCCCAGGAGGTTCTGCAATTCATGAAGGCTTGCTCGAGGTCTTTGTCAGACCAAGGCCGTCAGGGTTAACTTAAGTTCTCCTGTGTTGTAAGCCGCAGGTCTTTAGAACTGAATCCAGGAAGTGGGAGGGATCAGTTCTGCTGTGATCGTCTCAGATCAGTGTACCGCAATCATTCTGTTGTTTCCTTCAATATTGAATTGCGTGGATGGACGCATGGCCATTTCGCATGAAGTCATTGCTGTGTGGGGGTTCCGTGCAGTGATATCAAGAAATTCTGAGCTTGCAAGACTGCGGATTGTCCCTGCCACTGTTGTCACCGCAAGAAGAAGACAGGATTTCTTCTGTTGCACTAAGGATTCGTATGGTAGTGACACAGCCAAGGCCTGGGAATGCACCGCTGGTCAGACATTAGCATGATGCTTAGCTGATGGCATTAACGTTACATGCACAAATGGGATTCAGGCGGATGGCCGCTGTGACGCTTGCGCCTCAGACAAGCGAGCTGAGAACTTGCCAAGGACTTGCTTGCTAGCAGATAAATCAGAGAAGCTTTCTCAGACAGGCTCGGCTTCAGACCTCAGGAAGCAAAATTCAAGGAGCTTTCTTTCTTTTTCCCCTAAAAGCGTGTGCTCCTGCAGCTGCAGGCTGGCCAAGCGCGTCGCCTCAGTTCTCGGTGAGGAGCGCCAAAGAATTGCAGTTTCCATTCGCATTTTTTTTTCCACTGCTTTTGCCCTTCACACTTGCTGAGCAGGAGATCGGTCAGGGAACGGTTGGCTACAGGATAAGGCCTGCTTCTAGAAGCGTGCTTTTTGGCTTTTGGTCGCCAGTCGTTCGCGCATGCTACATGTTGTATTGTAGAGCAATTGCGATTTGGGGGTTTGCGCGGTGTTGCTCGGCTTTGTCTAAGGCTTTACGGGGATAGGCCTTGTTTAAGGCTCCTACGGGCTGTTAATGTGAAAAAATGCGTTCCCGCCTGAGCCCATCGGGACTGGCCTGCCTGGCACGAACAGCATTGCTGCCCCAACGCATGGCATTTTCGCTGAGCATCCATGCTGCCCAACCCCTTTGCGTACGGTTTCCCACTGTATCCATGCCCAATCCATAATTGTGTTCGTGTTCCAAGAGCATCCAATAAGCAGAGCATCCATGCCCAAACCACAATGACGTTCGTGTTCCAAGAGCATCCGATAACTAGAGCATCCCACGGTGCCTGGCTGAAGCTGTAAAACAAGACAAGCAGTGTGCGTCCATCCTTCACGGCATGTCAAAACTCCCGTGCTGACCCGCTCCGTGCACGCGAAACCACAGCGGCAACGCAGTATCCAGATTTGTTTATTCAATTTTCTCCTTTTTTTGGGCCACCACTTTGAGTCCGCCGGCTGCCGAATATGCCACGCCTGCCAGGGATTTTGACATGCCTAGATGTCTGCTGCGCTTCTCGACGCGCGTTTACGGCCCGTAGGAGCGTTTGTTTAAATGTTGATATGCTAGCATGAAAAACGACGCATTGTCTTGTTGCATATTATGCCAAGTAAACCATGATATACTGCGATTACTTGTGATCTATCATGGTAGCGCTGAGTTTTAGGGCATCTGGTAGCATCCCAGTCCTTTAATCAGCTTCAAGGAGCTGACTCCAAAATTGGCTATTGTGATCTTGGCCTAGAGATTTGTTGACAAGGAGATCTTTGTTTTCCAGTTTGGTGGGCCATACGAATTCGCGTGGGAGGGTGTTCTGCCTTTCTTTGAGGGGCAATTATATGAGTCACATTTTTGGCCAGCTGTGTCGCCCCAGCGCCGGCCCAAGGCAATCGATGCTGTGGACAACCTGCATTCCGGTGCATAAGTCGCACGGAGGTGTACGTGGAGTGAGAACGCTCCTTCCTGTTGAAAATGGTAGCCAGGGTTGGGAGGTCGCAGACAGCACGGCTAGCAAGGTGGAGGCAAGGGTTCTCTGTGCGCCCGGAGAGGCCGAGACGTCTAGTTCGGCGGATAGTCGTTCTATGGCTTACGATAGGTGTGCCTGCTCTAGCGGACATTCACTGATGTTGCCGCCACTGTGATGGCCAAGTCCAGAAAGGAGTGATCAAGACTCCAGCCGTGCGGCATTGTCTCATTCAAGTTTTGCGCCAGTGGCGACAGCATCAACGGCAAGCTGTGCTTTGTCACCGTCGGATACTTCCTTCAGAGATTAGTGAACAACCCCGAGGACCATAGCTGCGCTTGCCGCGAGTAGCCGCGCCTCCTTCGCTTGTGAATGCCACCCCACCGCTACCCACCCCTATGAGGACTATCAACGCTACACCCATGTCGTCCTAGACGAGGCAGCTTTTGACCATGTCGTAGCCGCGGGCCAGATGTATCGGAAGCAATTCTTTCGTTGAGGTTCACGAGCGCGGGGTGGATGCCGACCTGCTTTCATTGATCATCAAACTGTTAATGCCACGGCCACAGCATAGCCCCCACCTTTGGACTGACCTTGGATTGGAATCTCTTGGACTCGAAAAGGCATTGCTGCCCCGCGGTGAAACTCATCGTGATGTCAGCGACCCTTCAAGCACTCAGCTCAGCCACCATGCTCCGACTTTCCGAGGGAGACTGGCCCAGTAGGTGTCGGCAGCGTTCTGGCACCCTTCCATGAGCGCATGCTTGGCAAGCACAGGAATTGCATACCCCGCCATCAACTCATGCCCACTGCTCTTCAAATTTCTGAACGGTGTGAAAGGCATATCGGCATATCCTGCGAACCTGACAAAGGCAACTCTTTTTGCGGACTATTTCTCTTCGCTGCACCCTGGTAGAAGGCCCGGCCGTAAGTTGTACCAGGCATAGCTTCTATTGCTGGCTTCATCCGCTCTGAGGTCTCCAGAGGTGCTGGCGGTGGGTGCTCGATGTCACCCAGTCGAGCAACTCTTCCTGGATGATTTGAACCGTCAGTTAGGTACTCAGGCACTCTTGATTTCATGTGAGCTCCTCATCATTTCAAGCGTCCACTGTTTGCCGTCCGATCGATAGCCTGACCGTCGGCACAGTGTTACCAGGATGTTGATGTTTGTAAGCCTTCTTACGCATGTCAGTGCGAAAGTGTTCCTCATTCTCCTGCCATTGCGCTTTTGCCAAGTTTCGATTTCAGCGAGCCCAAAGACCGTCGCAGTTTGGAAAACGCTCTTCAGGCTGGTGGGGCTAATTTTGTGTTGAAGGCTTCCCTGGAACTGGCACTGGTCAGGCGTTTGCAGGCCTGTCGAAAGGCAGAGGCAGGCTTGGGATATGTGTCAATGCTCTTCTACGGTGATGGGATGTTGCCGTGATCAACTTGTTGATCTTGTTGCTTCCTGTCTTGTCCAGGCAAGGGTAAAGGCAAGAAGGATGGAACTGGAGGCAGGCATATTCATCTGGTTTCAACTGTGTCCAGATGATTGCTCTGTCAGCGAGCTGCGCAAACATTTAGCACCATACCATGCTACGGAAATATGAGTAAATTGGGCGGCCTTCCTATTTGATCACTGAAGACAGGTGATGAAGCTGGCTTCAAGCGAGTGCGCCCACCAAACATTCGACACATCCTCGTGTCATGCTGTGTTGTGACAACCACTGCTGTGAATCTATAGTTGGTTTTTGAAGCTATTGGTACATATGGCAGCAGGTGTTGCAGTTGCTAGCATTAGGTAGTTGTCGTTGTTGAGTAGGGGCGCTGGCGGTGGTGGTGCTCCCGGTGCTGCTGTTAGTGCTGGCGACGGCAGTGGTGGCTTTTGGGCTGGTGGAGTGCCGCAACTCTGGATGGGCTAGCTTTACTTCGAACTTGGAAAGCCGCTCTTCTGCTTAGCTAAAGCCAACTAAGTATCACTTTTGCAACGCAATTGTCGAAGTGGCGTAATGTATTTGCCATCGTTACTCCACAGTCATGCAGTCGATTTGTGACGCTGCGTTGTATCCTAGACGACCCAAGCTTTGAGGTGGAGCCGCAGATCTCTGAGGGACTCCTGGAGGCTTGCAACAGCAAACCGACAATAGAATCGCAGGACTCCCGTGCTTTTGTCTGGTATTGCCAGCTCCAGGCTAGGAGCAAACATTACAAGCTCGGATCTTCGTTTGTGTGCAGCAGATTCTGTAGAACCCAGCTGCAGCGTCGGAACAGCAGACTGCCAGACAACGACATCAATAAGAGAACGGCATCAATAATTCTTCTAGGGTGAAACTTCTGCTGATCAACATTTAAGTTTGAGTTTTTTTTCTGTTCACAGGTTACTTGTGCCCTCGTACAGCAACTGGCAAAACCTGGTTGCACGGCCACTGTCTCGGCTCTGTGAGTGCGGAGGCAGTGCACAAATTCAAGCCATGTGATCATGCAACTCAATACGTGCCAAGATCATCGTGTTTCTACCGGGCATCGCAGACATCACGCAGCTCTTCGAGGACTGTTCTTCAACTTCAGCACACAACTGGATACTGCGCATCATCACACTCTGAGGCTCTGTATTGTATAGCAGCCGTCAGCCTTTGGAGGCCTCCCTTTTCGCAGGCCTTGGCACCTTTGGACGATGTGCGCTCTTTTGGGCGGCCGGGTATAGTTCGACGACCAGATTGCCCCAGGCGTGCCAGACAAACTTGCCCTGCGCTGATTGCATTTCTGGGGGTTTTCTGGGGATCCCATGAGGCTTCGGATTTTCGCCTTGCACTCCATGGTGCCGCGTCAAGAACAGGAGGACTGGAACATGGGATTGGTACGTCCTTGAACGGTGTTCAGACATGTAAACAGCGTGGAGTTGGGTCTTCACGTGTGGCCTTCTGTCTGGGCATGTCAGCTTTGGGCTCTGCGGATAGGCGTTGCGCGAACCATGCAATGTGATGCCATGTGCGATCGTCGAAGCAGAATTCGTGAGGTTGTGCTCTTTATCGATGGTGACCAAGTTGGCCCTGCAGCATTCACGCCAATCATGAACGCATTTACTGCCCGCCATTTGAGAGTGTCTTGTTCGAACTGAGCCCTGGTAAAACTAGACTCGAAAGTTGTAGAGATTTAACGATGCAGCTTTGAACAGGTTTCCTCTGCGCGTATCTACATTGACGAGACTCGTGCTGAAGCCTGGAAGGCAGCATTGGCACAACATGGGATTGACGTCGTGCGGGTCCCCCGTGCAGGTGGCTGCAAGGATCCTGCAGACATTATGCTGGCAATGGATGCCACAGAAGCGGCCCTCTCTGGGGCCCTCCGGACTGGAGTTTCTGCCATTGGGGTTGTCTCAGCAGACGTGGACTTCGCCATCCTTCTGCAGAAATTGCGTAGATGGGGGATTTGGACTGTTGCTGTCCATCCCAAACTGAGGCATTCAGGAATGAGCGGGCAACTTGCAGTTTCGGCAGATGAAGTGGTGCATTATTCCGAGAGCAAGAGTTTCAAGAAGCTGCAACGCATCGTGATTGACACGACACAGCTTGAAGGTGAAGTTGAGGTACAAGAGGATGATTCTGCGGAGACGCTTGACGACATTCTGATTTCAGAAGCCTGTCTCGAGGAGCTCAGGGCGGTGCTTGTGAAGTCTGGCTTCCTGACATCTAGAGAAGATGGACCGCTGGTTGATGCGCTGGTGAAGTTCTTCCACACCAACAATCTGGGAAAGCTTACAATTTGGCCGCAGAAGCTTGCCATACGAGAAGCTGCCAGCAAGATCCTGACGCAGCCGCAACAAAACTGGAAAAAGAATCCAGGGAATCTTGCGCTTATCCAGCCACTTGGTGGGGGCAGTTATGGTGCGGAGCCCACTAACTTCGCACGACTGTTGCAGACAGGTGGCCCACTCCTTTGCCAGATTGACGCCAACTTGGTAAAACGCGTGCTTCACCGTTTTGGCTACCTGGATGGTAGCTTGGACATGGCTGGTGACAACATGGAGGAGGCCGTTGCGCTTTTCTGCAGGATGAATCGCAAGAAGATGCGGAGCGTTGGGCAGCTGGGGCAGCGAAGTTGGCAGGAGCTGCATGCTCTGTTGTCTGCACAAAGACTGCAGGCGTGGCACCTGCCATTCAGCGACAGGCCGCTCCGACGGTACTTGCAAGCGGAAAAGCTCATGCGCAAAACTACTTTCTCCTCGAGCCTGGCAATGCGAGCTGTCATGCAGAAGTGACTTGACTCTCTTGGTATCTGCAACCCTTGACGTGCCATTTTGCGATCAGGTTGAGTCTTGGCTTTTGGGCAGAGGTGGTGGTGACAAGAGCACAGTTGCAGGACAGCCGTGTGGCTGCGGCTGCGGCGGCGGTGGGGGCGGCGGCGGGTGGTAGTGGTCGTGCTGGTGGCGGTGGCGGTGGCGGTGGCGGTGTGGCGTTGTATGTAGTGTGAGTGTGGTAGTGAGCTGCATTATGGGCGTCGGTGGTTGTTTGGGGCTTTAGGTCATTCATGGTCGCGGCGAGGGCTGTCGAGGGGTTGGTAATCGTGATTTTCTGATAGATACTGTAGTACTTGGAGAGGGAGGTACGCCTTCGTGACACTCAATGCCTTCAGACAAAACACCGTGTGGGGCAGGCATCTTCGAGACCTTGGCCGTGCTGTGCCAGCCACATATGCTGCACTGGTCGCTGGCTGCCTGGAGGTTTTCCGAGACTCCTGTCAGCGTGAAAAAGTGCTGATTTCCACTCGCTCTTCCTGCCGTCTTCTGGCTGACTGTGGCCTATCTTGTGCAAGCACCTGCAGGAGGTGTTCAACGAAGTGCCCAAAGTTGCCGCCCAAGCACTCAAATGTATAAGCTCTTGTCGAGTCTGTTCTATTTCAGAAGCGAGGATTGCGGCCACATCGTGCTTGCCAGCAACATCGCAGAGAGTTCTCTGACACTGTTTTGGCCCAAGTTCAAGTTTGGACTTTGGTTGGGACTTCTGGCCTTACTCCATCACACTCCGGGTATGATCGTATCACGGAATAGGTGCTGCACTGTGCTGCACCGCCTCTTTGATCCTCTTTGCAGTTGTTTAGGTACAATGCATTTGGGCACGGGAACAGGGACAGTTTGCATTCAGCGCACTCAGTCCCGAGGCCAAGCGTGTGTGCTGTGGTTGACCTGGCTCTGAGACGGACTGTTCAGTGTGAAGCTTAGCTTAGCTTGGAGTTTGTTGAAGTTGTAGTGAAGCAGCACCTAGGAGTCTTAGAAAGGCTTTGTATCCGCAACTTTGAAAGCTACGCAGGTTTTCTGACACGTGGATAAGTGTACAGGTACGATACGCGACGGCTGATGTGTTGCTTGGTGACCACCTGGTGCTCCCAGAGCTCCTGCGGCTTGGACACATGTTTGAAAGATCTTATGGACTTAAATAGTTCTGTTAGGATGTACAGAGCATTTGGCCAAACTGAGGTAAGCAGCGACGAGGCCGCGCAGGCCCGGCCTAGCCCCAAAGGATGCACCAAGAACCGCCATCCAAAAATCAAGGCATGTCAAGCGAATCGGAAGGGAAGCTTTTTTGGACAGGCCGCACGATGCCCGGGCGGGCTCTGTGCCTTGTGCCCCGCCGCTTCTTTGAGTCCGAGCTGCGCGGTAGCCCGGTCAAGCATGATTTGGGCTTGTCACATCTCAGCTCATCGGATGGTCTTGATGGCGCAGTATGCGGCTTTGACCTTGGACAAGCTTGAAGGAGGTTGTAAGTAGCTCAAAACAGCTCAAGCATGCTGCCAGTATAGAGCCTCAAGGAGCCAGAAAAGGATTATCGTGACCTGAGGCCTGCTTTCGATCCACCCGAGATGCTCAACGCCCCGTTGACAAAGCTCTACCTGCAGGCGCAAGATGCTCAAGCTGTAAGCTAGAAGCAGCTAGAAGCATCCGCATGCAGCCAGTCTGCACAAAAGCACAGACAGTAACAGCATGCTCCTGCCGATTGTTTACAGTGGTTTGCGGCAGTCATGTGTATCAGGAAGCAAAGACATCCGTCCTGAGACTTGGGCTGTTCCAGTGCAGCCTGGTGGTCCGGAAGTGGTTTTTCGAAGCACTTAATCAGATTGGATTTCTAGTGGCGCACCTCAGCCAGGTAATCATCTTGCAGCCTTCAGCATCTCTATCAGGTTTCGCATGGATTTGCACGCCGGCTCTCAAGCAAAAACATGAGTTTAAACCATGATTACGATGTTAGCGGACGTAAATGTCGAGCGAAGGGACAAGCCCTCAAGTGTGTGCGTCTCCCCAGCAGCTGCTTGGCAGGCAAAGCAGCTTTGCTCAACTCTGGCAAGAGTGTCTGGTCGGGTTCAACTACCGCTCCTGACCCGGCATTCGTCTAACAGGAAAACTCAATGTCACATGTTCTGTCTGCTGCATGGATTGCTGAGGCCAGAGGTGAAAATGGACATCTCCTCCCCCAAGGCACTACTGAATGAGGCCGTGCAGTACATTTGTGCGCACGCTCATCATACTGTCGCAGCAGCTGGTCTGAGATGGTGGCAGGTTGTCCAACCTCCTTCGCTCAACTTGCTGGATGCAAGCTGCTCAGACGAGATGCTGTGTTTGTCGTTACGTAGCCTCTCGAAGCATACTTGCCATCTGTGAAGCGACAGTCTTTTTTAAGTGCATCACAGGCAGCGATCCAAGAGCTGTCCGCGGTGGGCTGTCTTACAATGCCTGCGGAGGACCACAGAGACCTGGAGTGGTGTCCCATGTTTCGAGCACTGCCATCTTGAGGAGGCAGAAATAACACCGCTGGGACAAATGGCCGTAGCCGCGCCCTGTGCCCGCGAAGCTCTGGCAGCTATCAAGATGTTGACATTGTAATCGCACGAGAGTAGTCACTCTGCGGGACTTGCCCCAAGAGTGCCTCTGCTCAGGCCCTACCTGTTACCACACCCTCACAAACCACACCCACCCGCCTGCCCGCTCACCGGCCCATGTGTACACGCACCTTGCCAAACAGAACTGCGCACACCACGCCAGAGAATGGCCAGCCAGAGGTTTGCTAAGGCAACCGCGCGTCAGATTTACTCCAGGGATGGCTGTCCGTTGAATGGCAAGCATCCATGGCAAGGTTGCATATCATCCATCCATACAGAATTCGCATGCATACCTCGAATCATCCAACGATCCCAACAGCGATCCCTGAGCCAGTGACTGGCCTGAAGTCCACACGGGTGAGTCTCAAGATTATGGGCTCCTTTCGGTTACAGTTTATACTACGGCACCTGCCAACATGGGACCCTAATTTTGGGAACTACCCACATAATCAAGATGCAAACACGATTAATGCTATGGCTACCGTCCGTTGACGGAAAGGAAGCTTGATTGTCCACATGCAGGTGGGCGCAGCGTACTGTCCTGCTGAATGCCTGCACCACGCTGGTCTTAGGCATTGCCCTGTGATCTCCGAATCTGTCGGCTGCTGTTCCTCGGCTGCTTGTTTGGAAGTGGCGAACTCAGGTGACCAAGGGATGTTTCACTCCAGTTCCTTACAATCAATTCGAGGCAGAGTAGGTGAAAGGGCAACATTGATACGTCCGCGTTTCGGCACAGGTCCTGCAGATGCCAGGAGCTTGGAGGGCGAAATGGCTTGAAGATGAAGAGCTTGCTGCCCTACGTTGCTTTCAGGCCTTGGCCATGGCGGCGGGCCTCACTGGCCCAGACCCCTTCAGCACGCCGTCGCTTCTGGTGCTGAAGGCAAGTCTGTCAGTGATTTGTGCATTTTGTGCATGCTGAGTTTGTGCAAGATCCATGGAACTTCTTGAGGCTTTTTGCTTATGTGCAAAGGATCAGCAAGAGTACGTGCAGAAGCTGGAAAGATCCTTCGCCTCGCGGCGATGGTGCGATCATGGGACAGCAAGCGTGGCATGTGAGTGCACAGTCCCGCCTGCATCAGAAGCTGGGGAAAACGTGTCGTGACTGTTGGAGCACCTTGTGCTGTGTGCATGTTGCTGCGTAGGACTTTCTCCGAGCCTATCATGATGCACTCACTCTTCAAGGAATGGATTCGTCAGCCTCTCGGTGACGCTGGAGGAGGGCTGCTGACAATCCGCCTGAGATTGCATTTCTACAAACCGTCATTCAGACCTCTCTTCAATCTGGCTCCCAGCAGATACCTTTTCGGATCTTTTCGAGATTCGAAGCGCCGCCTTCAAAGTATCATGTGTTTCAATTTTCTCCGCTAGGACGGACTCAGGCAACTGGCAGGACATGATCTCGTGTGGTAGCTGACGGCTAGATGTTTCAGAGTAGAACTCATTGCTCTGGGTGGATGTGTGCGCATGGGGGCTGATGTCAAGTTGGCAATGCCATTCTTGTGACTTTCTGCAACTACTGAGTTGGGTCAGTGCTGGCGTTGCAAATCTTGCAACGCATCAGCAAGTTTTCGGCACCAAGTTTCAGCACATTGCGTCTCAGCCTTCATGGTTCTCAGCCATACCTGATGGGCGAACGCCGCGTATTGCGGGAAGCAACAGTTTTTCTCACATACGGTGGACTACTGCGTGCGACCTTGCGGTGTGGTGAGGAATTAGTGTGAGTGCGCTCCCTGCTACGCAAGGAACAAGGTCAGGAAATGTACCTCACCCAACAGCTGCCCAGCAAGGCAAGGTCAAGCACGCCAGTAACAAGATGCCGAGGCGCCGGTGCACCGCGAGGTGCCAAGGCACTTGGACCTTTCGTCCGTGACTGGCCCAGGACTTAGCTACAGGTATAGGTCTAGTCAACAGCAGTCAATCCTGGCTTGCTAATGTTGACTGTGTTGGCCGTTTTGATACACCAGTCTCTAGACCGATTAACTTTGGAGCTGTCTTATTATTCAGATCGACAATTTAATTTTCAAGGACCCTCGCAAGATCTGATGAACATGGATGCCCTTTGTATCAGCAAGAGCCGAAGAAGCGATTCCAAATCCCACAGCGATACTCCAGTCATGGTTGTTGGGCATGTTCTGTCAAGCGTCCGAGCAAGATGGGCTGCGTGAGAAACTTCAGTGGGCGGATCGGAGATGCCCAAGTGTGAGATAAGCTTTTCAAAAGAAAACATTCTTCAATGCTGCTGGCTTGATTTAGGTGTTGTATTGTTGGCGATAACTATAGCAATACTGTAACGACACCTATTCATTCAGGAAGTCATCCTGCAGAAGCCTGTGGCCCACTCTTTGGTTAGTATTCGTACTTGTACCACTACTACTTCTTGTACATACTTTGACTTCAGCTGCACTTCCTTCTTTGCTGCTGCTGCTGCTGCTGGGACACGCGGCCTTAGTTTTGGTTGTGGATGATTTTCTATATTCACATTACGATGCAAACAACCTCGACGACCTTCTCAGTAATTTCTGCTGGTGCGGATTTTGGAACGTGCAAAGCATAGTGCATTCAGGCCTATGAAGTGGAAGTGCTGAAAACACTGTGAGGGCGAGAGATTGTATGCGTAAGGAGCAGCAGACGATTCCTTCGCGAAAAGTTGTTTGCAGAAGTGTTGGGATGTCTTGCATACTGGGAGCTTTGGGTGGGTTTCACGGTCATGTATTCCAAATGCTAATGCTGGTTACCGCCCAATAAGCTCTCATCCTTGGGGCAAAGGTTTGGGTATGGGTGCTCTAATGGGATATCCTTGGAACACTGACGTTATTGTGTTTTGGGCATGGGTGCCTTGGTCAACGGAGTTTCTTAGAACTCGGTCATCGGAGTTTCGTAGAACATGGATGCGATTATGCTATGGGCATGAGTGCTGTGGTCATCGGATGTCGGATGTTCTTGAAAGACGCACGCTCTTACATTTTGGGCATGTGTGTTCTGGTCATCGGATGTTCTTGGAACAAGGCCACTATTGTTGTTTCGGCATGCTTGCGCTAGTAATCGGAAGTTCTTGGAATGCGGTCCCTATTATGGTTTGGGCAAGGGTGGTCTGGGCATCTGAATTTCGTATAACGCGAATGTTATTGTGGTTTAGGCATGGGTGCTCTGGTCATCAGATGTTCTTCGAACATGGACTTATTCTGGTTTGGCAGCGGCAACCAGTGGATTTCTGTATTATTTGAAATCTACCACGCCCAGCGCTGGATTTTGCAAAATTGCAGGAAAAACCCATGGCCTGATAAGGCAGTGTGTGGTAATTACAATTCAATTGCCACTGCTAATTACTACTGCTCCCTTTATTATTCTGCTACTTGTAGCGCTGCTGCGGCTGCTGCTGCAATGTCCCTCCTGCTTCATTTGTAGAGGTTTAGCGTATGCGTTCCTGAGCACAACACAGATTTCAGCAGAAATCGATACCTAATCTTAATAGCATTCAAAACTTAAGCTATACTCTCCCCCTTCCATGTGAGTTCCGCTCTGGAGAAGCTGAGTTTCGATTGCTACTCATCTAACGCTTGAGCTGGGGGTATGCTGAGTGTAGGGTGCGGTGAAGATTTGAGGAGGGGCCCGCTGGCACCCACCTTGGATGCAGTACGCAGGTCTATCATACCCAAGAAGTTCGAATCATTGACTGCGGATGCCACAGAGCTGACAGTCAAGACCCCAGTTCCTCCGTGCATTCGGGATGGCGGCCATGTTGGTCATACCTCTTGGTGCGTTAACTGCATTTCGCAGTTGCTCTCGTTGACTACCCTTTGGCCTTCAAGGTCCGTTTCCTCAAGCTCTTGCAGACGGGAAGGGCTCGCAGCAACCTCGAGGCCAAAGGACAATGAGATAACTGGCTATCCTCACCCGCAGTCATTTATCATTTGAAGCAACTCAAAGTTCATATGCCGATGGCAGTATGGCATTTGAACATAGCGAGAGGCACATCGAGACTTAAGTGGGAGGCTTGTTAGGCCCAGCATCCTGGGCTTGTCGTGCAGGACAATGTTAAGTGCACTTGCTTGATGATGTTCCACCCCGCGCACGCTGACCTTGAACCACCTCAATCTATCTTTCATTATCTTTCATTTTTGGACTTGGGCCCGAAGACCAACAGATGGACTAGTTCACACAAGAAGTGCCAGCTCATGATGCTGTTGTTGGGGCCTTGGGGAAGGAAGTTTGAGGCCGTGTTCAGAGATGATGCAATTGCGCTGGCATCCATCGTCACCCGTACAAGCTTCTTTTTTCCAAAGGCTGTGACTATGCTGGGGGACTGGGCGGCGCGTGCAGCGAAGACCCAATCATTCTGATGACGCTGGCCGGAGGAGGCCAGCATCATGGCACGGTTGGGTGCCAATTTCTCACTGCAGAGCACCCTCCGGTTCTGAACGCGCCGCATGCTTTGGGAACACCGCATGCCCAAACAGCACCGCCCCGAGTCAGGATGGCAGTAAGACTAGCAACAGAACACCAGTAGCAGGGAGTAGTCATACCAAGAACTGGAATAGTGTACGCAATGTTAGGCTTCTTGCGGCGTGCGTGTCATTGTTATAGTCATGGTTATTGTTCTTGTTCTTGTCAATGTTCGCATTTGTCCTGGTGCTCGTGTTAGTGTAGATGTCAATGCCAGGCCAGTGTTAGCGGCGGCGGCGGGGGCGGGGGCGGCGGCGGCGGTGGTGGTGGTGGGAGCACCAGATGGGTGGTTCGGTTCACCCAGGGCAACTTGTGCAGGTCTTTTTAGGGCTCAGGGTTTAGGGGTTGTGTAGAATGTAGGGTTTGCCCTTGCTTACGGTTTAGGGTTCGGGGCTTGTGTTTCTCAGAGAGCTTTACGGGGGGTTAAAGGTTGTTTGGGGTTTGGGGTTTGAAGTTATGAGGGATTTCTACGGTCTAATTTTTTTTGCACGCTTTAGGGTGTTTCAGTTTCGGGCGCTTAGAGAGATTTCGGTTTTAGGGGTTTGGAGTTGCTTAGAGTGAGACTTAGGCTTTAGGGTTAGGGGCGGTTTAGGGTTGGGGGTTGCTGAAGTGAGTTTACTGGTTTGGGGCTTGGGATTGATTGATAAATTAGGGACTCCAGGGTTTCAAGGTTGGGGGTCGCTTAGGGATTTTCAGATTTCAGGGTCTGGTGTTTTGAAGGGTTTGAGGTTTGGGTTAGCTGAGGTACTGTTGGTGAGGCACTGTTGGGTTTAGGGTTGTTTAGCGTTTGGGGTTGCTTCTGGATTTTTAGGGTTTAGGGATGCATCTTTTAGGTTAGGGTTTTGGGGTCGCTTGGGGAATTTCAGGGTTTGGGGTTTAGGGTTACCTAGAGATTTTAGGTTCTGCGGTGTGGTTTTGTTTGGGGCTGAGGGCTTAGAGCTTTTTATGGTCTAGGGTTTGGGGTCGCTTGGGGAGCTTTACGGTCAGTTTTTTTGTTTCAGGGTTTAGGGTGTTGCAGTTCTGGGTTTGCGGTTTTTAAAAGAAATTTCGACCTAAGGGTGTGTGCATTAATCAATCTGCAAAACAATTTTTTTGACCAGGCAAAAAGCAGCAGCGGGTCAATAATTCCTCCACGCCACATCCATTTCTGGCAGAAAAACTCGGACGGAGGCCTCAACTGCTGGACCTGCCAGTGAATTCCGAATTCCTACTCCCTTGGACTAGGGCGTGTGCAAAGCATACTGCTGGGATGTAGTACGCACTGGATGGGTGGTTCGCCCAGAGCAAGCCATGTCAGGATTTTAGGGCTCAGTGTTTGGGGACAGGGGGCATGGTTTGGGTTTGCCCTTCTTCAGGGTTTTGGGTGGTTTTGCAATTTGTAAGGTTAAGGGTTTGGAGTTGTTTACGGTTGACGATGTGGCGTTGCTTAGAGAGTAATAGGGTCTAGGGTTGTTTGGGGTTTAGGGCTTGGTTTTTTTGGGGGGTTTGTGGCGGTGGCTGGTGGTGGCGGCAGTGGTGGCGGTGGGTCGTGGTGGCGGTGGGTCGTGGTGGCGGTGGGTCGTGGTGGCGGTGGCGGTGGTGGCGGTAGCGGTGGTGGCAGGTGGCGGGGGGGGCGGGGGGGCGGGTGGTGGGGGTGGTGGGGGTGGCGGTGGTGGAGGCGGTGGTGGGTGTTGGCGTTGGCGGCGGTGGTGGCGGGTGGCGGGGGTTTGCAACCAACATCTCAATTGTGCCCGCATTTTCCGCGTGCAGTCTCAGCTAGAATCGAAAGCATTAGGCAAGAAAGCACGAAGGCCCTGCTAAAACACCACATGATATAGCAGCCGGAAGATGCCGGAAGCATTTCCCAAGGCTTGCACTCGAAACTTGATGAAGCGCCAAGCAGGAGACCGCATGTGATGATGATGTTGACCGTTGGCCAGCATAGTTAGCATCATGGCTCACGGAAAAATGGGTCTGGCACTCTGGTGCCAGAGGATGACATCATCAGCATCACTAGCCATGACATCAACTTCTAGAGGACAGCGATGACCTCTGAAACATCTTACTATCGCTGTCAACAGCCGTCATGAAACCCTAAGAAAACCTTCCTTCCCAAACCTTCCTTCATCTTTCGGCTCCAGTCTCCGTCTCAACATTTGAGTCATGCATGCACATAGTGTATCCTGGGCTCGGCTGCATGCTTCAGAATTTCTCAGGAGCTACTTACTAGGCAAACACCTCAAAGAGCTTGCCTTGCAGCAGTTCCCTGATGCAAAGCCGTAACACGCAATAGCGTTGGAAGACAAGTCTGCTTGTACCCGTCAGCTGCCCGTCAGTGCCATGACGGCGGAAAGTGACCCCCGGCCGGCAGAGCCGCAGGTCCCAGCGGTAAAGGAAAATAGAGGATCTCAACTTTTGCCATCTTGTGCTCTTCTGCCCGAGTGTAGAACTTCCAGGTCTCTGTCTCTTCGAGTCTTCGACCTTTTCTCGCGCCGCTAATCTTGAGTCTTGTTTGCACTTGACTTGACGCTGCACGCATGTTCCAATGCATGGCGTACGGGGGAAGAAGGAAGTTTCTGAGGCCTGGCTTGCTGCAGGGCAAGGCGCAGACTTTTGTGACACCGATGTTGCCTCTTTTCGTGGTGGACCTCGGCGGTTCCCATGGCATGGTCGGAACCATCGCATCGGCCTACTCGGTGGCACAGTTTCTAGGCTCTGCTCCGGTACCTTGGCTTTGCTGCTTTGCATGACATTTCACAACTTGGCACCTTGCTGCCAAACATGACAACAGGGCCACCGCTGATAGCTGCAATTCTCGTTGCAAAGGGCTTGTTGCCCTTGAAAGAGGTTTCCAGCTAAGGTGGGTGTGGTTATGCAGCAGCTCCATTACGCTTCCGCGGCGTGCCTATCCCTTTGCCTTCTTGTGACAACGGCGGTCCTCTCTTTTGCATCGCAGTCTGTGTACATTCTTCTCGCTGTTCGGCTGGTCGGTGGCATTGGGGCCACGGCTTTTGACATCTCCCGAAAAGCCTACATATCTGCTGAAGTGCCATCTGAGATTCGGGGTCGTGTGGTAGCTTTTCTAGCAAGTATGCAAAAGTGGGCTGTAATGATCTCTGCTCTGCTGAGTGGGGTGGTGGCTGAACATATTGCCACTCGGAGCGTTTTCCTTGTGCAGGCTCTGCTGTCCCTCTCTGCGCTGCTGCTTATTGCAGGCCACAGCTTGTTTTCCAGGCAAAGTTGTACAGAACAGGCCAGCGGAGATAACAGCGCAGATGTCACAAACACGCACACTTCAGTAGCGCAGAGGCGTCCTGCAACAACTCTTCGTGCCGTTTTGCGGGCGCACTGGCGGTCACTGGTTGGCGCCGGGATCTATTGCGCAATGCTGACCGGCATCAGAAACACTTGGATGGTTGCACTGCCCTTGCGCGGACACCATATCGGGCTAAGCAAGGTTGGAATCGGACTTGCTGTTGCGGGCTTTCGGGCCTGCGATGCCAGCATCACTTTTCTTGTTGCGGGCCACATCATGGACAAGCATGGCCTCAAGGCTGCAGCGGTTCCATCCATGATCTTGATGGCGGCTGCGTTTGCGCTGCTTTCCGCAGTCCGGGGGCCAATTATGCTGGGAGTTGCGGCGGTCGTATATGGTATTGGAAATGGCATCTGTGGCGGCATTTTAAATGCATTTGCTACAGGATTGGCCCCTGCGCAGGCTCGAACCCAATTCCTAGGTCTTTGGAAGACAGTGACTGCGGTGGGCGGCATCTCATTGCCTCCTCTTTTTGGGGCTGTCTCTGATGCTACATCCTTAGATATCGCTGACTACTGTCTCTCGGCTGCTGCTTTATTTGCCGTGGTCTGGGTGCTCCTGATGGTCCGTGAGATATGCCCAAAGGCAGCGCGTGAAACGCAAGTCTCCGTATCGCTTTCTGCTGCTCCAGGGACGGCTGCTTAGGCATGCTCGTGGAAAACTGGTCGCACTGCCCATGCATTGGTCGTGCGCATTCTGTTTCCTTGAGAGCTCGCAATCTTGTGAAAGCTGGCAGGAACTGCTTGGCGCCATGCACCACAAGCTGGACAAGGGAGATGTTCGGCGCTCAGAATGCTCTGTGGCTTGGAGCCGCCCTGTTGCTTGGTGTGATCACTTCCAGGTCATGGCAAGTGCGAGCATGTGCGAGCTTGCTGTGTAAAGATGTGCAGAGCTGGCAACATTTGAGTCTTTGCCGCAGCATTCTCAAAGAAACTCCACCAGGAAGCCTGCTTGCCATGCCACAAAACACATGACCACCCTCAAGCTGTGCCAGAGGAGCACATGAAAGCCTCGCCTCAGATTCGACAAGTGTAACCGGCGGGCTCTGATCGTGTTGGCACGAGAAACCAGAGTAACTGCCAATACCGTGCTGGAAAGGCGCTGCCCATTGCACACTTGTCTTGTTTGAGAGCAGGCCCATCCAGAAGCCCAGCCACGGCAATCTTGTAACTTCAGCATTCATTTCCCACGTTGCTTAGATTTGCGCCGCTATGTCCTACAGTGATGCTGTCAGCAGCTCTGCCAAGGCGGCTCCCAGGACGGCAAACATCTGCACAGAAAGCAAGGAAATCCTACTTGTAGGACCTAGGGGTGTCCGCAACTGCAAGTCCTCATCAAGCTTTAAACTTGAAACATTAGACAGCATGTGCAGGGAACCCACAGTTCGGTTCAGTTTGGTTCGGTTCGCAGGAACTGGTTGGAATTGGTTTGCCAAAGGCGCTTCGCTTCGCACGCGGTTCAGTTCGGCACAGGTTCGTTTCGATCCGGTTCGGTCTGGTGCGGTTCCATGCATCAGAGGCTCAGGCCCCGCCAAGCTTGCTTAAGCTCCCACAGGCAAACATGCCAGCCAAATCCTCTGAAAATGGGTTTTCTTGGGATGGTTGCCATGAATCTCTGGGGAGGGGATTGCTTGGCGGAGGCGGGCATGGGGGAGCACTACCTTTCTGTACAGGACCCAGGAGCTCTTCACTGCCGGGCCCGCGTTGGAGAACTCGTTCGAAGGTTTTTGGATGCGAAAAGTTCAACACAAGTACGAATTCTCTCTTCCTCTCCTGTACACGAAGATCATGAAGCAGGAGCTCTCCACTGCCCGGCCCGCCAGGACCAGTCGTTAAGGTTTTCGGGCCCGAAAATCTGCGCTTTTCGGGTGAAAAGCTGGAAACGAGTACCCCTCATCCACCTCTCCTCCTGGACAGGACCCAGGACTCCAGAGCCGGGACCGGGGGGTGCCCCTTACAAGGACGTAATCTGACGGGGGGTACAGTATTTACACGGGTAAGCTCGGTGCGCTGCCGTTCGTCAAAATCTTGGTTCGTAGCGGTTCCATTCAACAGTTTGTGTGGATTCATACGCTTCACTGTGGTTCGGTTCCTTTGATTCGGTTCCAAAATCTTCCTGCATGTCCTGAAGTCATTCTGACATCTGCTCAAGATTTCTTTGTTGAGTGGAAAGGAAGGGCTTCAAACTGGTCCTTTTGGGGGATGCTTCCGACGCTCAGCAGCAAGATGGGAGCTAGGCCACTCTTGTGCAAGCCAGTGGCTGGTACCAACTTGGCTTCTAGAAATTCCCAGAAGATGGCAAGACCTGCCACTTGCAGAGGTGGGGAAGTCCAGCATTTTGCTACGATTCCTGCACAATAAGTTCTCGGAGGAGATTGCCACTCTCTGAGATGGAAGGTTTTTTCTTGTATCTTCTGGTTATACTTAGGCTCTAAGTGACGGTTCGATGTGTGGAACTAGCATCATGCCAGAAGGCTTGCCTTTGCTTTGCCAGCATCGCTGCTGTCACTGCTAGGCAACAACCGTGGGTGCTGCCTTCAACACGAAAACTATAGAGTCGAAGGGCCGCCAGGCACACTCTGTGTTGATGGTGTTGATTATGCTTGAGCGGTTACTGCGCGAAAATAGGCTTGTGACAGACTTGCCCGGCTCGCGATGACTTTTTGCGACAAAGCTGTGTTGTGGGCATTCGCAATTACGGCAGCAGGTAACACACAGGCTGTGGCAGGGGTATGTAACCGGGGGCGGCGGGTTGGGGGAATCAACATGAGGACTGCCATGCAGGAGCTAATCAAAGCCTGCCATTGTCTTCCAGTCTTCAAATTGCAGGTGAAATTTGAGATCTGGGACACCGCCGGTCAGGAGCGTTTCCGCAGTCTGGCACCGATGTACTACAGGCGCAATTGAGCTTCTACTAAGAGTTGAGATAAGACGCAATGTGCGTGTTGGCGCAACAAACCATGACTGACAGGGGTGCTTCAGCTGCGATCGTGGTCTACGACCAGACCAATGCCGTGACGTTTGATCGTGCGCAGGAATGGGTGCGGGAGGCTTCCCCGAGAATCATGTCATGATGGATGTTCAGATACACCTGCTGAATGAACCTGCCGCCTTGCAAGTACCAGTGAGGGAACAACATTAGATGTGTGCCAGCTTAACGTGCCAAGAGGTCATGTCAACCTCGACGAATCCAAACATCGTGATCGCCCTGGCAGCGAACAAGGCAGACATGGAGGCAAAACAGCAAGTCTCTTGGGAGAAGGCAGAGAGGTTCGCACAGCAGCAAGGCCTGCCACTAGGCTGGAAAGACTGGAAACTGCACCTATTTGAAGAAGAGCGTTAGTCCAACGGTTTAAGCCTTTGAGCACCTGTATTCGCTTTCAGGTTTCTCCTGGACACGTCAGCAATGACCGGGAAGTGGCTTGGACATGCAAAAAGCGGGCGGAACAAGATGCAAGATCATGTAAGAGATTGCTGCGCTGAGTCTAAGGAACGTCGTGCGACTCTTTGAAGGCATTCCTAGATGTCATCCTGTGTGCCGGGAGCGTGTTCAAATAACCACCCGAAATGTCATTTGTAAAATGCATCCAAGTATATATGCTTGCACATGCTTGTACATACAAATGCATGCATGCATGCATGCATGCATGCATGCATGCATACAGACATACATACATTACGTCAACCCTAACCCATATCCCCTCAACTTCATGATGTTTTTCTCAGCATTCATTTTTAAACGTAGTTTTGATGGGGCACCCAAACCTTCATCCGAACACTATGAGTTTTCGACAGAATCACATGTTCCTCGGTGCAGTTTTTCGCTTACAATCGGAACCGTCTAGGCCACGCCCTGAAATCCCCAAGCCCCAGATCCTGGCCCATCTACAGGAAACCATGGCCGTCAAATCGGGAAACACACAGAGTAGCTCATGAACTCTCAATTTTACAGCGGCGTGATGGAAATCCCGAGAATGGCTAGTCTTCTAGCCTTGATAAGCTCTAAACTCAAACGTTTAGTCCTAGAAATTCTTCCTCTTCAAACTCACTTGTTTTCTTATGCCAGCTCTCATGAAAGCTTCATCCTTCCGGCCCCTTCCTTGTCAGCCTAGTCGAGCCACTTGAGTCCAAGTACAAGGCCCCTTCGAAACTTACAATCTTCCGCAAACGGTGCAAAGACCTGCAACCCTTTCAGTCCAAAACCTGGACCCTTATAGGCCCTGCCAAGCCCCATGAACCAGCAAGGACTCATTTTACATAGACCCTTGGGTGTTTATAGAGAATTGGCACCTGCCTCCAATTCGTGAAGCCCTTGGAGCTACCACAACCTCTAACCACTCAACCTTATGAAGTTGTATGGAACTGCAGTGCTGAGGAGGGTTGGAGTCTGTCTAGCCCCAGCCCCCGACCTTAACCTTAATCACCTGTGGGGATACTATGGTACACAATTATGGTACCCCATGTAGAGAAAGATTATGTCCTCCTTTTGGGTATCGTAATAGTATTTCTAATATACAAAATAAAATCTTACGACAACCACCAGTAAACGCTATTCACGGCAATCTAAATCCTGAGCCTTGTGAATTTCCAGGCAAGGGAATGAGAATCCGCGTGACCTTCCACCCTGAACCCCTGAGTCTTAAATCCTACGAATTCATAGTCTAACTTCATAAAATCTAGGGCCTGCAAGCCTCCAAAATCACAAAGCCTCAAGCTCTAACCTGATGAAACCCGATGAAAGTATGGGGAACCCACAAATGTAGGATTCCCTAAGTTCGAACCCAGCTGAGCGCATACAACTCTCCGTCATTCCCTAGACCTTCGAAATCATGAAAGTTCGGAAGGTATCTTTCTTACCCACCATACCCAAGCTGCCCGTTATCCGTACTGGAAACCCTGGTGTCATGGTGAACATGCGGATCACTGTCCAAAGTCAGCCCTTCATGTTTTCAAGGCGTGAAACCCATACCCCTGAACCCTAAGTCCTACCGAAAATTCGATCCCTTCAGACATCATGGCAATCGCAGGAAGGATGGAAGCTTAAAGAGTTCTGGAAAAAAGCTTAGCCGGGATTCTAGACAAGTCTATCCAGCACCCGATTGGATCCAGTCGTTCGATGGGATGCCATGGGCGACTCCCAACCCCAAAGCACTACTGGCTTCGGAAAACGGAAGTACGCAGAGTAAGTAAACGGAGTGTCCAGAAAACGCGGAAGAAAACATTTCTGGCATATGGAAAGTGAGCGAAGTAACTCAGTTCCGCGGATGTTCCATTACAATGTATAATCCTTTCAGCGCGTGCAACGTTAGTGGCAGGTTTCAACATGTTAGCCAGCGCCAGGTATCGCTGAACTGCTTCCCGATGAGCCCTTCATGCCCCAACAGCGGGGGATGCAAGCAACCCGAACAAGATTCCCAGCAAACTTTGGCATATGCTATGGTTTCCCTGTACCAATGTCAGGGCATGGGCCTTGCCATGCTTTGCCTCATGGCATCTTGGGAGTGTACTGTAGTAGCGACTGCATTCGAGGTCTTAACTACGCCGGCTACAGTGAATCCTGCGGCCGTGGTTGACCAGAAAGCCACTGTGAGGAGCAGGTGTTGCTAAGGCAAAGCTCCTTCCGCTTCACTTCGCAGCCGAGCTGCTTAGAAGCTACCCGTTGCACAAAGCCACATGGCTTCACTGAAGACTGAGCAGGGCGTGGGGCCTTGGACAGTTTCTTCGTTTGTGCCATGCGTGGACGCATGCTACAGACAGGTACAGTGCCGACCCCCAATACGCTTGCAACATGGCAAACAAGGCCCAACCAAAGTCCTGGCAGCAGAGATTTCGAGCCTTCTCCAGTCCCGTGCATGGGACCGGATCTTCTCGAAATTTTGGTCTGGTACAAATCCCTGAGATGGGGCGCAGACCTGCAAAAAGATGTTTCCAATCACGATAGCACCTAACTGACATCTTGTTATCTGTACGGATGCAGATGAGCCCATCCTTGCGCCCGAAAGGATCTGCTCCGCATGAGCCGGACAAATGGCTGGGGGAACCCAGAAAGAATCTTCAGCGGCGCGCAGCTCAGCATGAGGCAAGATTTCCAGCATGTGCAAGTTGCTGCGTCTATTGAGCAGTTACTGACTGGACATGAACTATCGGGCTTCGAGACCTCTCGAAATGGTGCAAGTACAGATACTGTTTGACTCAGGTGATGTGGACAAGCTTCGCTGCTTGGTGGCTTTGGCCTTCAGTGATCAGGACAGGCCAAGCTTCATGCCGGCAATCAAACTACAGCAGATGCCCGAAGGTTTTTTCTAAGACTAAGAAAGCATTTGTGGCAGATGCTGCTGCACTTGAATCCGCGCTGGGCGCCATCGTCTGGTAGCAAGAAGCGCCTGGAAGAGCAGGCAAGTCTCGGCTCCGGAGGTGGTGCATTGGTCCATCCTGTAGGTTTGGCTTATTTCGTGAAACTATTCCAGCTGCATCGTAGCAGCCAACTATGTTTGCAACACGTTGTCAAACAATGCCAGGGCCTGATACAGCAGGTTTGAAGGCCTGCCAGTAGGCCGAGACTAGCTCAAGCTTGGCTAGGGAGTGCCACTATCAGTTGCTCTCTGACAATCTTGCTGCAGCAGTTTCATCAGAAGCCATAGGATTACAAGGACAGGCATCAAACAGACAACCTTGTCTTGACCTGGACCAATCTTGCGCACACGTCTTTCGATAAAGCAGTACCTGCCGCTGTAGCCAACATTGCACAAGCCAAACCCCTTCCAAGTAGAGCACTATTCACCACAAGCTCTTTCGACGCTTCCTGCAGAGACTCGTTGAAACGCTCGATGGCGTGAAACATGATCAGCCATCCCGACTTTTGTGGCTCGGAGTGCATTGTATTGAAAGCAGGATGTCGCATGATGTACTTTCGTTCTTTCGCTGGCCTTGCTGAGGCGGTCCTGGCCTTGGCCATGGCACACGCGACGAGGACGAGGCGAACGAGGCGAAGCTGTGAAACTGGGAGCCCGTTAAACGCCGTTAAGGCGTTATGCGTCAAAGGCAGTGAAGACGCTGACAGGACAGCCCTGGAGGCGAAAGTACTACATCGCAACAGTCACAGCCTCTGACCCCGCTTCTGCGGAGACTTCTTTACAGGATCCTGCCACACAACTGCTCCCCATGCTTCGTCCCGCTTATCCTCCACAGCCTACTCAGTCTTGCGGCAGCGGGCCGCTCGGAGCGCGAGGAGAGGCCGTCACTTGTCGCGAGCCTCAGCTCGCAGTGAGTCCGTACAACTTGTGATGTCTTGAAGACAAAGGCCTCCCATCGCCTGGCGCTTGGGCGACGGGAAGGACGAGAAGGTTGGAGCGATGCTTTGCTTGAAGACGGAAAGCATCGCGATGCTTATCCTTGCACAAGCAGGAACGTCGCGCGTTGCCATTGGCCCACCACGGTCAGTGAGGGCCTCAGCTAAGCCTTAGATCTTCATCGCTGTCTTTGCATGCTGACTGACCGAGTGCTGGTCACAGGCTTTTCGAGGCCGCAAAGCCGCCTCGATGCCGGAGGCACCAACGTCAGCAGCCTCAGTACCCTCAGCGTCATCAACGCGCGCCGTTGTACGCACATGTCCGCAAGCCAGCTTTGTCTTTCTCAAAGCCATCTGCATCCGGCTGCGTGACGTTTCGCTGAGGTTGGCCAATTCCCGTGGTGTCCTCGGCATGTCCAAAACACCGTGCGCGGCGACCTTGGCTGAAAAGAAGCCTTGCATAGCTCCCAAGGCGACCACCTGGGAGGTGCCGCAGCGTTGGTCCGCGACGTTGGGGTGGCTGGGGTTGCCTGGACAGCACCTGGAACACCTGCACGTCACTGATTAGTCGGGGCATGTTGCTGCCCCTGCATTTTGCTTAGGCTGCCATACCAAAAGGGCTTGAAAGCTCCGCATCAGGTGCGCAGTCAACCCGCAAGCAGTCTGAAGCATCGCACATTCTGGGCACGAGCTGCGCCTGGTGTAAGGATGCATGTCGTAACAGCTATGGTCTTATCCCACCCTTTTGCCTTAACAGGCTGTACCATTGTCAATTCTTCCCATAGATCCCACCCACATCAAGCCTCATTATGCATCTGGCAGTCACGAGCACTGCGCCGCCTGCCTGGTGCGATCGTAAGCCACCAGCAGAGAGCTCGAGCTCCAGCAGGCAACTTTGGATTGCAGTGAGGTCTGATATGTACTCATGTGTCCTTACCGTGCATAGAGGTCTAATGCTACTACCAGCGCTGGCACCAGCGTGGTGCGGCGAACCAGTGTAAGAGGCTGAGCTTCAGATGGTAGCGATGCTTTCGGAACGTCAGTTGCCCCAAGCGACCTGATTTTTTGTGGAAGCCTAAACCCGAGAAGGGTTTGTGGTCATCGTCACTGTTATTATTTGCAATGCAACATAATGAGGAAGAGTTGGGAACAAGTCTCTTGGCGACCCATCGGTTTGTTCTATTCCGCGAAATGGCCCAATGCCAATACCATGGAGTTTCCTTCTGTCCAATGTGGTCCCTGCCCGATGGCGAGCTGGACTGCTGTGCCACCTCGACCTAGAGGCGGGGACTTTCATGTCAACAGGTCCAGGAACCCAAACCTTGGATGCTTTCAAGCTGTTGAGGGGCAGGCTGCTGTAGGTTCTCATTTTCTCTGCCCACTCGGTTGAGGGTCGACGTGTAGGCGCATCTGGCATGTGCGTCTCTGTTACATCATCGATGTTAGGGACTCCTGAGAATCCCTGAATCTAAGACGCCATTAAGGCACCAAGCAGTGCGGCGTCAACGGTGCTTCGCTCCAGCTGGGTCGCCAGGGACTTGCTACGGTTTGGCTTTCAGTCACCAGACAGCGCAACATTGTTTTCATGTATTGAGGAAAGGCTTGCTGGGCCAAGACCAGCTCTCAGCACATCAAATCATGAACTTGTGATTTCTTTCGTTTTGCAGATGCGCTATGCTGCTAAGATCACTGATTAAGGTAATCTGAATCTAAGGGATACTCTAGCTCTTGAGTCAGCATGCAGTACGCCGATTTTCTCCTCTGCTGCATGAGGTGGGAGCGGCGGCCGTGGGGACGTGTCAGCGAGAGCACTCAGTGTACACGGCACTTCTTGGCAAAACGGCGCAGCAGAACTTCAGACAGCCTGTCTGCCCTCATCATGAGGCTACCTTGGTGGCCAACTTTCCTGTATTGCATGCAAATGTCGCAACATTCGCAATCGCAGTGAGAGCCAGAACTGCTGAGGTCAATGTACGACTACGCCCTGGAGCCAACTCGGAGGTGGGAGAGCCTCCCGGCTCTTTGTAGCTTGAGCTCGAGCCGCACAAGGACGATCGTTGCGCTGAGCCCGGCCGGGAGCTGATGCACTCGGTGAGGCCCTTGCAGCCGCTTGCAGCTGACCAACGGTGCAATGTCCTAGATCGATCGCACTCGACGGGCAGGCTTCGTCAAATAGGCAGCAGGTACGATCAGCTGGGCGAGGCGCTTTTGCCAAGCCTGTGGTGTGGGATCTTGACACGACTTCTGTGGCAAGCAGAAGTGCAAGAGGCCCAGTACCAGTTCGACCATGTTTTTCCAGAGGAGGCTTCTCAAGAGGAGGCCTCGTGGCAAGGGTTTCTCTCTTTGCATGCAAAGTTTGCTTCAGCATGTAGAGGCAAATTATGAGCATTCATAATCATACGCTGACCATGCTGGCCAGGTCTTCAACGTGGCGGTTGCACCCATTTGTGAGGCCTCGCAGCCGACGAGACAGTTGCCAAGACAAGCCCAAATGCATGCTTGCGTAAGGCTGTGATTAGTGGTTACAACGGCGCTGTCATCGCATACGGCCCGAAGCCTGTTTTGCCAGCGACATGCAGCATGTCCCTTTGAGGTGGGCATAATAATGGGTGGACCTCGATACCTAATAACCTGCTTTCGCGTACAGTATGGCCTGAACACAGTCACGTCATTCGAATTCTGCCCGGGTGTTGCTGGAGCTTGAGGCCGTTGAATGTGGGGCTTCTTCTCTTGAAGTCGAGGATCTAAACAAAAAGTGACGTGTTCTCAGGCAAAGTGGTAAAAACACTGCACGTTCGTGCAGCAGCTCATTGCATAGCCTAGTGCAGCCTCCAGAAGACACTGTTCCTCATGCGCTGCAAGCTCGGGGGTCAATCAAGCAGAGGGTTTGTTGCTTCACATGGAAGTAGTTTTGCTTTCCACTTTGCTTTGAGGATTTGATTTCTCCAGCAGTCGAAGCATCGTTGATGCTAGACCTTTGATCTCACCTGCTTCTCTTGTGGAAAAATACTCCCTTGTACAAGGACACGTGAGCCTCTTTTTTCGGACCTGCCTTCCTCCTCATGCTTTGAATGCACGATCAGGCATGAGTGGCAGCACAGCTTTATCCTTTTAACCGGCAACTATATAAGATTCTTGCTACGTTTGGCCAGCCTGCTCTTCTTGCTGCCCGTTAATATTCCTTGCTAGTCATGTCGGTTATTCGTCGATTGGACGGGTTGGACTAGGATTCATGGGGAAAATTGATATCCCAGCGGACAAAGAGGACTGTCTGACAACCCAGACAGCGCATTGCATGATATCCGAGGCCAGACAGGGTCAGGCAAGACCCACACAGTTGTCGGCAGCTCCAAGTCGGGCGCCTGGCAGGCGTTTCTATCTGTTCCTCGGCCCGACTCGCTGGAATTTGTTCATCTTGACCGGCACAAGGTTCAGAGGAGTCGCGCCAAGAGCCATACACTGCATTTTCGATGCCCTGTCTCAGAGCTGGGAGCTTGAACTGCAACCGATTGCATGACAGAGCGAGCAGTCTTCTGACAGCAGCGACGCAGCTTGCATGTCAGGAACGCTCTGGTCGGTTGATGTCTCAGTGCTCGAAATTTACAACGAGCGAGCCGAATGCTGAGCTCCATGTGCAGTTCAAAAGTCATGTCTCTCATCCTCTGCGCATCAGATGGCAGCTAGCTCAAGTGACATGTTCTGTATTTTTTGGTTGGCTGCAGGATGCTGCAGCCTTAACGGAGGATGGGGCCATCCACAAAACGAACCCAGGCACCCAGTCCCCCGCCACAACAGGAAAAAACCAACAACACGCCCCTGCCACAGCAGAAACACCAGCAAAAACACGCCCCCACGCCAGTGCACAACAGAAACACGCACCCGCCACAACAGCCAAATAAAAACATGTCCCCTGCCACAACAGCAAAACAAAAACATGCAATCCCCCCTCCCCCCACACCTTCCCCGCCGCAGCAGCAAAACAGCACGGCCTAAACCCCCCATCTCCGCCACAAACAAAAAGAGAGAGGCCAAGCAGCGGTCAAAAACACGCATCCCACCCCCACGATGGTGTAACAGCAAAGTTTTCGCGCTCAGCATTGCTCTAGC